TAGTTTTCTATGAGTATATGATTTTCACCATTAGAACATAAGCTTCTTTGAGAGTACCGATTGTTTTGTTTTGATCTCTGTGTATCAAGAACCCGGCACATTTGTTGTTGTTCAGTCTGACTCTTTGTGACCCCATGAACCACAGCACACCAGGCTCTTCTATCTTCCACTGTCTCTCGAAGTCTGTTTATGTTTGTTGTTTCCGTGACACCATCTATCTGTCTCATCCTTTGCCATCCCCTCCTCCTTTTGTCTTTAACCTTTCCCACCATCAGGGTCTTTTCCAATGAGTCCCGTCTTCTCATTATATGGCCAAAGTATTTAAGCTTCAGCTTTAGTATTTGACCTTCCAGTGAATGGTCTGAATTCATTTCTTTAGCTATTGACTGGTTTGATCTCCTTGTTGCCCAAGTGACTCTCAAAAGTCTTCTCCAGTGCCACCATTCAGCTTTCCTTAAAGTCCAACTCTCATAGCCAAGTATTGCTACTGCCTGGCACATAATAGGTGCTTAATAAATGCTTGTTGAGTGAATGATGAATGACTTCTCCTTATGCAGGGGAGGAAACCGAGGCTGAGTTAAATAAATTGCCCTTCCACTTCTCCCTTTTGCACAGAACCTCAGGCTGCATGCTATCCTTTTGAGGCTGTTTATGATGTTCGTTGCAATCTGAATTCACCTCTATAACAAATATTGGGGGCAAGGGTGTATCTCCCAGGCAGGAGCCTTGTGTCTGCTTTTCCACTGAGCGCTTCGGGCTCTCTCCTCATGTGGTCCTCCCTTCTTGTCAGCATATGACTCCTTTACTCTGTTGCTGGAAGAGCTTAGTTCGAGGGTAGCAAAGGGGGAGGGCAGGCTGCTGTTCTGGCTTTTTGTTTCAACCCTTCTTTGTGTGAATGGGAATTCATTAACAAGTCTGCCTCTTCTCTCCCAGTTTATCCCAACCAAGCTATGCCCTGCTTTCCTCTCCTTTCCTCCATGGGAATCTGGCCTCCCTCGTGATCCCCAATGCCCTCCTTTCCCCACCCAGAAAACCAAGCTCTGACTCTGGAGGGGAGTGGGAAGTGGGTGGGGAAAAGTCTTGTTCAGGCAAATTTCTAAATTTACATTTGCCTGCTATCTGTGCTGATATTTAGCTCTTCCTGTTGTCAGTCACTAGTTAATTACATTCTTTACTGAGGTGCAAATGTGTTTTTACAGGAAGCTAAGATAGTGTTAACTAGAAAGGAGCTATTCAGTTAAAGATGCTTTTATTCCCAGTGCTAGGTTGGGGCTGAGGCAGTGGGGCTTCTTGATGGAGGAGTGGGTGAGGATGCCAGTGGGAGGGACTCTTCTGCTAAAGCCCTCAAAAGCTGAGCAATTCAAATTCAATTCAAACTTTCATTGGTCCTCCAATAGCTCCAGCCAGCAATTAGGGTGAACAGAACACTGGAGGATGGTCTACAAAGCGCAGAAGAAGCATTTAGTATGAGTTCTATCTGGTTTTTATTTCTATCTCTAGCTCTTAGCACAGTGCTTGGCACATACAGAGCACTCAATACAGTTTTATCTATCTATTCATTAAATTAATTATAACTCACATTTATTTAGCAATTTAAGATTTGTGCTTTCCTCATGAAACCCTATGAGAAAGCACCATTTCGCAAATGAGGAAACTGATCCTCAATGACTTGACCATGATCGTACAATTAATAGATATGGGAGGTGGGACTGGAACCCAAGATTCCTAATTGTAAATCTCAGGTGCTTTACACTATGTTACACTGGCTGAAATAAATGAGCATTTATTAAGCACCAGCTGTGTGTGAAACATCATCCAGGGTTAAAGAAACAAAAAATTAGAGCCTTTCGGGGTCTAGTGGATGAAAAAAGGCATACACACACCTATTATAATCAATCAGCATTCATTAAATGCCTACTAGATGCTGGGATAATCTCAAGTAGGATGACACAATGCCATAAGAGAGGCCTAGAACATTGTGTATTCAGAGAATAAAAGCTCTGTGTCTCTAACCTCTTTCACCAGTCTCTAAACCCCTCTAAGACTTGCCTTCTAGTTGGGCAGCTAGGTGGTGCAGTGGATAGAGCGCCGGCCCTGAAGTCAGGAGTACATGAGTTCAAATCTGGCCTCAGACCAACCACTTGACAGGTACTAGCTGTGTGACCCTGGGCAAGTCACTTAACCCCAATTGCCTTTAAAAAAAGAAAGAAAAAAGAAGAAAGAAAGAAAGAAAGAAAGAAAGAAAGAAAGAAAGAAAGAAAGAAAGAAATATATTATTAAAGCCATCTATAGTCATATGAAAAAACACTCTAAATCGTTATTGATTAGAGAAATGCAAATCAAAACAACTCTGAGGTACCACATCACACCTATCAGATTGGCCAACATGACAAAACGGAAAATGATAAATGTGGGAAAATTAGAACACTAATACATTGTTGGTGGAGTTGTGAAATGATCCAGCCATTTTGGAGAACACTTTGGAACTATGCCCAAGGGGCTACAAAAATGTGCATACCCTTTGATCCAGCAATAGCACTTCTAGGGCTATATCCCAAAGAGATCAAACAAATGGGAAAAGGACACACATGTACAAAAATATTCATGGCAGCTGTTTTTGTGGTGGCAAAGAATTGGAAATTGAGAGGATGCCCATCCATTGGGGAATGGCTGAGTAAGTTGTGGTATATGAATGTAATGGAATACTATTGTGCTATAAGAAATGATAAACAGGCTGGACTTCAGAAAAACCTAGAAAGACTTACATGGTCTGATGCTGAGTGAAGTGAGCAGAACCAAGAGGCCTTTGTACACAATAACAGCCACGTTATGCAATGACTAAGATTGTTAAACTGAACCCTTCTCAGCATTATGAGGATCTAAGGCATCTCCAGAGGCCTCAGGATGGAAAATGCTGTCCACATCCAAAGAAAGAACTATGGAAGTCCAATTGCTATCACTTATTTTTACCTTCTGTTGAGTTTTGTTTCATCTTTCTGATGGTTCCTCCTATTGGTTTTAATTTTTACTTACAACTTCACTAATGTGAAAATATGTTTAATGGGTATGTAAATGTAAAGCCTATATCAGATTGTGCGCCATCTTGGGGAGGGTGAGGGGGAGGAAGGGGGAGAAATTTTCAACTCAAAAGCGTATGGAAGTGACTGTTGATAAATCAAAATAAATTAATAAAATTAAAAAAAAAAGACTTGCCTTCTAGGGTCTCCCTGCCTTCCCATCAAAAAATGCTCTCACAATACAATCTGAAAGTCTTTGCTTTATTCATCGGGCTGGACCAGGGACTCTCTGCCTTGCTGTGGCCCCTCTTCCTACCACCAACCCAGTTCTGCATCCCCTCTTCCTCCAAAGCTGCTACAGTCCTTTCCAGGTTATTCCTCTAACCCTCACCGCTACTCCACGATTATCTCCTCAGTCTTGGATTTAGCCCTGGTCTTCAGGACTGGCTATTCACTATCTTCATTTTGGTCAGGATTTCTATTGCTCTTTGCCCTCCCATAAGTCTTCCCTCTTTATACTTGCCTCAAGATTAGAAAGTGAGCATCTAATATATCCTTCATCCCACTATATCTGGCCAGTTCTCAGGATTCCACAGACTAATTCCTTGACCATCAGGCAACACTGGAGATTTGGTATCTCTTCTCCTAGTCTCTCTTCTTCCTCTCCCTACCATCACTTGTGCATTTAATGGATGATCAAATCAGTATAACCTTTGTAATTGTGAAGGGTGTGACCAGCTGTTGCCATATATCTCCACTTGAGTCCTTATGATCCTGAACTGTAGGCTGCCTCAGCAGAAGCTCCCTGCGTGGGACATTACTCCCTCATACCCATTCTGGTCAGCTCCATCTTTTTCCTGTTCCTATCCAACTCTATCCTACCTTTCCAGTGTGCTATATGGAACCCATTCTATTATTAACAAACTTCCTTTCATATTAGATCTGTGTCCTCCAAGAAATTACTTAATAAATATTTTGTATTTAATTTCCTCTGCACATGTTTTTTCCTCCAATCGAATGTTAGCTTCTTGAGGGCCAGAGACTGTTTTGTTTTGGGGCACTGTAGCCCAGTGCCAGGGACACAGTAAGTGCTTAATATGTGTTGAATTAAGTTGACTGATAACTTGGAGTATTCTTATCGCTCATTTGTATTTTGCTAGGGATATAAATCTTTTAACATAAAGAAATTAATTTTCTGCTGAGCATTCAGGCAATGGCAGAGGTATTGGGTCTGGGGGGGGAGGGGGTTGAAAAGGAAAGACATTAGTGGCTTTCCTAGTGATCCTAAAATCCCAGGTCTGGTTGGGGTTGCACGTGTGTCTGGGGGTCTAGAAATCAAACAGACAATAATAGGGTGTCAAGAGCTCAAAAAAAGTAGAGATCAATGTTCTAGGCATTCAGACTTCCTTAGACAGACACAGTGACCCAGCTCAGTGTGCCAAAGGTTTGAGACATTCGTAATTAATCCCATTCTACAAAGGTAGATCTAGGTCAAGGGTTTTAAAGCTTTTCGATTTTCAAGTATATGGTAGGCAGATATGGTATTGCAAAAAGTCCACTGGATTTGGAGGCAGCCGACCTGCTATGTTCCTATTACTGTCACTTGTACAATGTTGGATTAGTTATTTAACTTTTGTGGGACTCAGTTGTAAAATGAAAGGATGGAACTGCAGGTAAAGGATGTTGCCAAGCTTTGATACTCAGTGGCTGTGTGAGTAGAGGCAAGTCACTTAATGTCCCTGAATCTCAGTTTTCTTACCTATCAAATGGGCACAATAATATTTCTATGAGGAAAACATTTTGTAAAACCTAAAACACCATAGGAATGTTAGTTATTGTGATTTTTTTTTTTAATTTTAATTAACACCTTCGGGGATGTTGATGAGCAGCACTAGGATGATAGAGGGTATCACTCCTGGGGAATGAGCCCTGTTTATTTCCCGTCTCCGTTTCTTTGGCCATTAATTGTTATTTCCTTTGCAGGCATTTTGGCTTTGGTGGAAAAAAAGGATTTCCAGCTCAGCTGGAAGTAAGGAGAGGAGTAACACTCCTGTGGACAGTCCCAGAGGCAGCCTGGGAGCACCACAAGCAGTAAGTAATGTCTTCGTGTCTTTTAACCCAAAGTGCACAGCTCGCAACACCTCCCTTTCCCAGCCCCCCCAGTCCTTCCCCACCTCCCGCTTACAGGGCCCTCTGCAAGAATATTTTGCTAAAGGGGCCTGAGACATAGTTATGGACCAGACCAAAATGTAGTTAATCAGGAGGAGGATTTTCCATCTTGAATGAGGGCGATGTTTTCAAATGCTCAAGGGTAGTTAAAGCTTTGGCTCCAGCCCACAGTGATGCTGTCTTCTGCAAGTAGTATTTATTGGCCACACAACACACTTGAACCTAGTCAGTACTTTAAAATGTTCATTGACTTGAATGACTTAGAAGTTCGGTGAGTCACAAGTGTGGTCAATCAGTCAACAGTCAGCAAGCATTTATTAAGTAACTGCTATGTGGTAGACAGTGTGCTAATGATGGGGAATTCTAAGAAGGACAAAAGATGTTTATGCTCTGCAGAAGCTTACAGTTGAATGGAAGAGACAATATCCAAGCAACTATATACAAACAAGACACATTCAGGATAAATTGAAGATAATACACAGAAGGAAGTCAGTAGCATTAAGAAGGATTGAGAAAGGCTTCTTTCATAAGGTAAGATCTTAGTTAAGGGTGGAAGGAAGCCAGGGAAGCTAGCAGCTAGAGAGAAAGGTAGAGAGTCTGAGGCATCAGGGACAAGTGACAATGCCTAGAATCTAGAGATAGAGGGGCAGCTAGGTGGTGAAGTGGATAGAACACCGGCCCCGAAGTCAGGAGGACCTGAGTTCAAATTTGGCCTCAGACCAAACACTTGACACTTACTAGCTGTGTGACCCTGGGCAAGTCACTTAACCCCAATTGCCTTAAAAAAAAAAAGAATCCAGAGATAGAGTGTCTAGTGTAAGTGGCAAGGAGTTTGATGTCCCTGGATCACAGAGTCCATAGGGGATGTAAAGTATAAGAAGATTGGAAAGAGGGGAGAGATTTAGGTGATAGAGGGCTTTAAAAACCAAATAGAGGATTTTGTATTTGATTTTGGAGGCAATGAGTAGCCACTCGCATTTATTATGTGTGTGTATGAGGGTAGGGGAGAGGCTGGAATGGTCAGATTTGTGTTTTAGGAATATTAATGTGACACCTGAATGGAGCCTAGACCGGAGTGATGAGAGAATTGAGGCACGGAGCCCAACCAGGAAGCCATTGAAATAGTTCAGAGGTGAGGTGATAAAGACCTACAACAGGGTGATAGCAATGTTAAAGGAAAGAAGGGGGTGTGGATAAGAGATGTTAAGGAGATAGGTTGTAAGCTTCTTGAGGGCAGGAACTTTTTTTGCCTCTTTTTGTATCCTCAGTGCTTAGCATGATTCCTGGCACATAGTAGGTGCTCAATAAATGTTGGTTGATTGATAAAAATGATAAAACTCTGAACTTACTTGTATGAGAGATGACAGTTAAGAGTCTACGATGATACCCAGAAAGGGCCACTAAAAAAAATCATCGCACTTAAAATCATGACTCGAACTTGAATTCTAACACTGACCCCAATGGATGATGTGATCACAGGCAAATCAAAGCTTCTTTGGGGTTTGACTTCCTTAAGTATAAAATGGTGGTAGTGGGTAGCAGCAGCAGCAGCCACAGCAGCAGCACCTAGCATTTACATAGTCCCTTAACACTAGCAGAGTACTTTGTTATCTCACTTGGTCTTCACAAAAAACCCTTGTCACAGGTACTGCTGTATTAGCTGCATTTTACAAGTGAGGAAACAGGCAGAGAGCAGTTAAGTGACTAGAGTCAAGACCTAGTATGTGTTAGGGTCAGGATCTGAATTTAGGTCTTTCTGACCTAACTTTACCTGTTGTACCACCCAATGAATAATAGAACAATTGAACCACTTTATCAAACATGAGGATCAAATAATATAAGTCATGTAAAACACTTCATAAAGGGAAGCTACTTGCTATCTGTGACATGTTTTTGATTGAAGTCACCAGAACTGGCTTTATCATTTATTAGCTGGCTGACCTTAAGTGTGTTCCTTCATCTCTCTGGGCTCCTATTTCTTCACTTATAAAATGGGAATAATTTTTCATTACTAAGCACCATCTACATTTAGTGGATTGTTCTAAAAGGGCTGGGAGACGATAAAATGATAAATAAGGAATCATCCCCGACTTTAAACATCTTAAATCCTATTTGGTTCTTGTATCTTCTATCTCTCAGAGTTGTGAAATTCAAATGACATAGTGTATGTTAAGTATTTTGTAACCAAAATACCCTATATATGTAAGCTATTGTCATCACATGCTACCTTGTATTGCTAGTTATCAGTTTTTAAGTCTATATCTTTTAAAATAAATTTTATTAATATCTTTTTTTTTTACATCACTACAATTTCTACCAGTATGCTTCCCCCTTCCCTTTCTTAGAAAGCCATCCCATCTAACTGATTATGTATGTGTATGTATTTATTCATTTATTCTAAAGAAAATAGGAAAGGGGAAGACAACTAGCAAAACTGGTCAATACATTGAAAAAGTCTGAAAATATATGCAATGTTCCATTCTTATGGGCCTCTCATTTCTACGATGGAGTGAGAGTTGGTGTATGTACTATTTTCTTACATTGCTTCTTTGGACCCAAGCTTCTTTGTAATTTTACAATATTTATTTTTGATAGTTTTGTGGTGGTTCTCTCTAATTACATTGTTGTAGTCATTGTGTATATCATTATCATTTTCTTGGTTCTACTTATTCACTCTTCATCTAATTATGTAAAGCTTTCCATGCTTCTTTGTATTCATCGTGTACATCGTTTCTTAAAGCAGACGTGTCAAACATGTGGCTTGTTTGCATTGCATTGAAGCTCACAACACTTCTGAGTATGGCCTGACCTAGATTAAAATGTAGGCAGGAAATATTTAACAAAATAAATAAAAATACAATAAGACATAGGTAATGTTAATGTGTTGTTTTCTAAGTGAGTATATAGCAATCTGGTTTAGCAGTCCTGTTCCTATGTGAGTTTGACACCACTGCCTTCTAGCATAATACTCTTCTACTATATTCATGTGCCATAATTTGTTTAGCCATTTCCCAACTGATGGGCTCTGCTTTGTTTCCAAGTCTTTGCTACCACAAAAAAGTGTTGCTATAAATATTTTGGTGTATATGAAGAGTTTCTTTTTATTAATGATCTCCTTGGGGTATAAGCCTAGTAGTGGAATATCTGAGTCAAGGGGTATGGACGTTTTAGTAATTTTATTTTTATAATGCCAATTTACTTTTCAAAGTCGTTGTTCTGATTCACAGCTTCACTATAATCCATTCGTGTTCCTATCTTTCTACAGTGCCTTCTACATTGACCATTCCTATTGCTAATAACGATTTTATTCTTTTTTTCTTTCTCTAAAATTAGCTGTCTCCAAACTTTTTTGGTCAGGTATACATAATTAATGAAAAGTTTTCGAGTATGCTAAATTGCATACCTCTATGGAGAGGTAGTGTTGCATGGTGGATAGACAGCTGGATTTGAATTCTGGAAGACCTGTGTTCAAATCCTGCCTCTGATACAAGCAGCATGTGTGTGACCTTGGGAATGTCACTTAACCTCAAAGTTCCAGAGGTGTCAGACTCATCAAGGCAAGAGACACTCCTAAGTGTGGCAGGACCAGATTCAAATGCAATTGGAAGCTATTTAACAAAATAAATTAAAGTACTATAAAACATAGATAATATTACATTTTAAATTAAGTCAATATGCTGCTTGTAGGAGTCCTTATTTATGGATTAGTGTCTCCTATTTCTTTTTAAATTTGACACAACTGCTCTAAGCAACTTTCTTGACTAAAAGTTGCAGTGAAGTCATTGATCTGTATTAGTAGAGTGAGTTTTCTCCATCAGTGAAGTCTCAGGTCCTGGCCCTGGTCCTACACATATGCTAGAGCTTGACCCACTCTGTCCTATGGGGAACGAGATGGAGGCAGTAGAGCTCTCCCAGTCACAGCTACACAGTCTGCATCTCTAAGAGCTGTCTTCGGGTCAAGGAAGGTCAGAGAGTGAACATAGTGGGGATGGCACAGGTAGATTGCCCCAATGGCACCTGTGCATTGGCTGTTATGGGTAGGAATTAGGTTATAACTGCCTTGATGGGATGACAGCTGCTATAGACTTCGAACAGTGGAGGCACGGGACAGAATAGGGAAGTATTCAGCCATAATGGATGAAGGGTAGTTATGGTTGTGTTGTGAGCAACCTCCTTCGTTAGCTGTTGTGGATAGCATGAGATCACATACTGTAGGCAAGTGAGGGCCTCCACTTTGGAAGCTACTGAACAAGGTGTTCAAAGGTAGAAACTGTGTCTTCGGTTTCTTCTATGTCCCTATTGTTTTTCAGAATACCTATGTAGATGCTTTGCTAAGTTTTTGCAGATTATATTGATGGTGGTGATGATCATGATCATGATAGCTGCACAGAAGGCATTGCTACACCCAGAGACCCAATTAGCAAACAGACCTGGGACCGAGACAGTGAGATTGGCTCTCCCCTTCTCCATTCTACTCCCTTACCATGAACTTTTAAGAAGTATTTCCAGAATCTCCTCATCATTTCCTCTTGTGATCCTATATACACCCAACCACCATTTCGGATCCTTGCCACATTGTTCTCAAAGGCCCTGTCTGGTTTCCCTGGAGGGAGAGATCAGAGGTCTGCGTTGTGGAACAGCCAGGAAAGAGATATCCCTGAGCTAGTCTCCAGTTTCAAGGGCAACTCTATGTCCCCAGGCAATAAAAAGACAAGGAGCTACGTTAACACAGTCATGAACCCAGCTATGGGCCCAAAGGTCCTCATGTGTAGGACTTGAAGGATTTGGGCAAACAATAACACCCATTTTTGTTTTCTTCTCAGGAAACTTTGTGTTTGGGCCAGGAATTAAAAGAGAGGACATTGTGAGATGTATGAGGGAAAGAAGATACTGTTTTGTGTTTGGGGTTTCCTGAGCTGAGG